CCTGGTATCTCAAGGTTTATTTTTTTCCCATCATTTCGCATATTTAAAACCAGTCTGATTGTCAAGAAAGGAAAGCAGATGATTCAATTCACGAAAACTACTTTCCGTTGAATAATGAAATAAAACTAAAATGTTGGCTTTTCCTTATACAAGGATTGTCAATCTCCAGTTACATTTACGAGCAACAGTAATTTGGGGTAGCTGTGGCATAAGAAGACCGACTGGACCGTGAACAGGACACTAGTGAAATGCGCACTGCAACGTAAAAATGGCCAGTTTTCAGACTGCTTTACATTAAAAAGTAACGATATGCTATATCGCCTTCCAATATAGGCACAAAATCCACAAATTACTGCAGTCTGACGGAGCCCTCTCTCAGATAATGCAGGTGATTGCTCTTGCTTTATATCTTTAGAACTTTTTGAAGAAAAACTATTTTGGCTTTCAAAGGTCACAATAGGAATTTTAATTGCATAGGTTAGTTAAACAATGCAAAGGACTCGTCGTCTCTTTCCTAGTGATGAGGTGTAGCGGACTAAATGCGCCCGATAAAGTGGAACTTTCTTTTCTGGAAACCGATTGGCCTCGCTAATTGGAGAGATTTCAAAAGTTCAAATGAGGGTTGCGTTGGGGAAGCGTGCAAATCCTGTTAACCGTCAAGCCTATGACCGAAGAGTGCTTTAAGAACTCCACGCAAATGATTGAACTTCCTCCGCATAGTGTCGTAAAGGTATTTTCACGAACCCTGATTTAGGGGCAACGGTTGCATTCACTATTGGGAGAAATGACAAGTAGCCATTACTACAGATCTTTCTCCTTACTCATAATTGGTTTTGAAATAAATAAAGGAAATAACAAAGTAGGATTGCGTCGCAAACTCACATCGCTTTTTTATATATCGTTATAAGTTTAGCCATTTTTGATGACCCGAAACAAATAAGTGTTTCTTGCAGCTTTAAGCATTACTGAATCGGTTTGATCCGAAATTGACTGTGCAACCAACGAAAATTGAGGTGGTTAGACATTGTTTGTCCCTCCATTGTTCAGAGCACAAAGCCTGTAGTAGTAGACGCTTGATTACTCCGATCTTACAGTTTATGATGCACTCAAAGACATGTAAGTACTCCACTGGCGTATGCAAATAAAGTGTAGTACCAATCCTCTGCCAATCGCCACGGAAGAATTATTGTTAACTGAAAATGCCGTGCTTTTATTGCAAGTTGATTGCTACATACACACATCACTCCTCTCAGCGCATTTAAATAAAGTACAATTAGTCCTGCTCTATGGGTCTTGAATAGGAATCTTTTCAGCGAAAAGCTGGAGAAAACTACTCTGCAACCGCACTTTTATTTGCTCATTCATGCAGTGAGCACTAAATCCTCAAAAATTGGGTATTAGCGTAGATTCTTCGAGATAATAAAGTTCTACGAGTGGAAGAGTTTTTCTTTAGCTATTCAAGTTTATTACCATTAGCATTTATTACGATCGCCTAGGCCGGCTTCCGCTGCGAATCCCATGAAAGGGTGCGAAATCTCACACCTCTATAAATGCTGCGGTTGAATTGGACGTTTCTTGCCCTGCACTACACGATAGATAAGCTTTGCTTTCGAAGTAATAACATCGTGTCAGATTGCAAATGATAGCTATGAACATTTATGTTGATAGAAAGTGGCAGAGTGTCTTTAAAACGGTTGTTTACAAATAGTCATCGTCCCTTATGATGAAGTGTGCCTGTTCTTTTAACCTCGGTTTGCCTGAAGGCTGTTCAGCTGCCGAACTGAAATGCCTGAGGTAAGGGACATGAATGTTGATTTAATGAGTCATCGAAAGAAGGTCACATTATAACTAATTTTACCTCATAGATGCATTTGTAAGCGCCAGCAGTTATGTTTTTCTTCTTTCCCAGTTGGATGTGCCAAATTACGTCGTTTATTGGCTCTGAGGGTGCGTCAAGACTTCCCCAGTCTCCTTCCTCATGCATCTCTTTTTGATGGAAAAGAGGTGGCAATTGGATCTGAATTTTCTGCGGGCACTTTTGTTCCGCATTCACCACCACCATCACCACCACCACTGCCACTACCGTCGCCACCGTCTCTGTCCACATCACGAATCGCCTTCACAGCAGAGAGCTTGCCGGCATGTCGCATGGACCGACCTGATCTTTATGAGGCGCGCCAGTGCAACGCTCTTGATTGTTTTTGCGTAAACGTCACCACCGGCGTCTTTCTGCCTGGCACGCGAACCAGCATTGAGGATCTGGTCGATTGTAGCACCGGTAGGATCAAAACCCTTTTCTGCACACTGGCTCTTTTTACTGCATAATAATTCCAAGCTTTTACAATCCAGCCCATTACAATGGGCATTCGCTAAGCCAGAAAACGGATTTATACTCTCTCGTATTGTGTTTTGTATAATCTGAGGAACCCTCTACTCGGTGCATTTATGACCTGTTGCGAATCTTGCTTTCAACATAATGATAAATTATTGTTAGATTTTCTTACAAGAATCTCATATCATAACCACTGTACTTTAGGATTTCGCGCTGTTCAAAGACTGCTCTCTAGTTATATCTGTGTCGAAATTTTCTAGACTGGAAGGCAATTTTATCTTGCTAGTATGCGCACATTTTTCCAACTGATATCTTATCCATTTCATGAATTGGATTGCCTTCATTAACACGATTTATTAATGCCAGGAAAGGGCGAACCGAATGGATTTTATCTTCCCCAAGTTAATGCGATCTCCGTGGCATGATTTTAGCATTTGTAACGAATTCTCATCACTTCCCAATGCCAGCTTAAATTGGTAGCAAAATAATAAATCATTGGCGGAGGTAGAAAGGGACAAATCGGTTGGCTGAAGTCCGCACGTGGCGAGGTTGGTCAAAACTACTGTTAGCAATGATTTAATGAATATTGTTGAAATAATTTGAATGCTCTTTGTTACGATTTGGCGATATGATTCGGAGTAGTGGTTTGTAGGTTTATTTTAAAGAACTGAAATCCAACCATTTAGCATCTC